GAAAGAAATGGCTCAGATCCATGAAAACAGGAATGAAGAAGGCGAAGTCACAACAGATCCAAAAGAAATCCAGAAGATCATGAATACCTACTTTGAGAACCTGTACTCCAATAAAATGGAAAACACAGAAGAAATGGACAGATTTTTAGATACTTACAAATTACCAAAGTTGAACAAAGAAGATAATAATATTTTAAACACCCCAATTACAGTCAGTGAAATTGAAAATGTAATTAAAAATTTACCAACAAATAAAAGCCCAGGCCCTGATGGATTCACTGCTGAATTTTACAAGACATTTAGAGAACAACTACTGCCATTACTCTTCAAACTTTTCAATGAAATTGAAAGGGAAGCTATACTTCCAAATTCATTCCTGGAAGCAAGTATCACTTTGATTCCCAAACCAGGGAAAGATGCAACTAAAAAAGAGAACTACAGACCAATTTCCTTAATGAATACAGATGCAAAAATCCTTAATAATATACTAGCAAACAGAATACAGAGGATTATCAAGAAGATCATCCATCCTGACCAAGTTGGATTTATTTCAGAGATGCAAGGGTGGTTCAACATATGAAAGTCAATAAATGTAATACATTATATTAACAAAGTCAAGGACAAAAATGATGTGATCCTCTAAATAGATGCAGAAAAAGCATTTGATAAAATTGAACACCCATTCATGATAAAACCCCTGCAAAAAATTGGAATAGATGGTCTATACCTCAACTTAATAAAGGCTATCTATGAAAAACCAACAGCCAACATCATATTAAATGGCCCAAAACTGAAAACTTTCACGTTAAAATCAGGAACAAGACAAGGATGCCCACTATCACCACTCCTCTTCAATATAGTTCTGGAAACATTAGACACAGCAATTAGACAACAGAAAGAAATTAAAGCAATAAAGATAGGAAAGGAAGAAGTTAAACTGTCATTATTTGCTGATGATATGATATTCTACATTGAAGACCCAAAAAACTCCACCAAAAGACTTCTAGACTTAATTGACAGATTCAGTAGAGTATCTGGATACAAGGTGAACACCCAAAAACCAATAGCTTTCTTATACGCAAATAACAGACTCACTGAGAGAGAAATAAGGGAAAAAATTCCTTTTACAATGGCATCCAAAAAATGAAGTATCTAGGAATCAATCTAACCAAAGAAGCAAAAGATCTCTACACTGAAAACTACAGCACTCTAAAAAAAGAAATTGAAGAGGATATAAAAAAATGGAAAGATATCCCCTGCTCCTGGGTGGGAAGAATCAACATAGTGAAAATGGCCATACTACCAAAACTTCTATATACATTCAATGCAATGCCAATTGAAATTCCAACACAATATTTCATAAAACTAGAAAAAAGAATCCAAAAATTCATTTGGAACCATAAGAGACCTAGAATAGCAAAAGCCATCTTAGGCAACAGACACATGGCACCGGGTATAACAATACCCAATTTGAAACTATACTACAAAGCCACTGTGATAAAAACAGCATGGTACTGACAAAGAAACAGGCCTGAGGATCAGTGAAACAGACTGGAAGACACAAAAACAAAGCCAGATGTACTCAGCTACCTCATCTTTGACAAAGAAGCTGATCATCCTCAGTGGAGGAAAGTCTCTCTAATAAATGGTGTTGAAAAAACTGATTTCAACCTGCCACGGATTAAAACTAGACCCTTATCTTTCACCGTGCACTAAATTAAAATCCAAATGGATTAAAGATCTAAATATTAAAACAGAAACATTAAATTTGCTGGAAGGTAGATTAGGCAGAACTCTGGAAGACATTGGCATAGGAAAAGACTTTATGAACAAATCCTCAGTAGTATGGGAACTAGCAGATAGAATCAACAACTGGGATCTCATCTTATTAAAAAGCTTCTGTACTGCAAAAGAAACCATCAGCAGAATTAAGAGACAATCTACAATGTGGGAAAGAATTTTTACCAGCTGTTCCTCAGACAAAGGAATATTATCAAGAATATATAAAGAACTCAAAACAATCAGCCCCCCAAATATAAAGACCCGATTCAAAAATGGGCATCGGAAATGAACAGATCTTTCTCAAAGTAAAAGCAGCAAGTAAATATATGAAAAAATGTTCCACATCACTGATAATTCGAGAGATGCAGATGAAAACAACACTGAGATTCCACCTCACCCCACAAAGAATGGCTGCTATCAAGAAATCACACAATAACAAATGTTGGCAGGGTTCTGGGGAGAAAGGAACCCTTCTCTATTGTTGATGGGAGTGCAGACTGGTGCAACCACTATGGAAATTAATATGGAGATACCTCAAAGAGCTGGGACTAGAGGTTCCATTTGACCCAGCCATCCCTCTGCTGGGTATCTTTCCAAAAGAACTAAAAGAATCATATCACAGAGAAGTATGTGCACCCATGTTTATAGCGGCACAGTTTGTAATAGCTAAATCTTGGAAACAGCCCATTTGCCCATCCGTTGGAAACTGGTTAAAGAAGATGTGGTTTTTCTATAAAACAGAATATTATTCAGCCGTAAAGAATGAGAAAATAGATTCATTTATAGGAAAATGGATATATATTGAAGATATACTCCTAAGTGAAATAAATAAGTCACACATGTGTAAATACCGAATAGTTTCTCTGGTGTGATTAATCTGCAATAATACAGAAGATCCTAATAAGATTACTGACATTGAGAAATGGGAAGAAAGGAGGTAAAGTTGTAGGGAAGGTGGGATGGGTAGGGGAAGGGTAATAAGGGAAAAGAAAAAAATGTGAGATAATGAAAAGATGGAAATAAAGTGTTTGTAGATGGGGAGGGGAGGAGGGGGTGAAGGGAGGGCAGGGACAAGGTGAAAAAATGAGAACCAAGACTTGTCATGTAGAGGTACAAGATCCCAACAATGAATGTAACTGTACTGTATCCCTAAAATTACCAATAAACTCAATTAAAGCTGGAAAAAAAAATTCTGCTCATTCTTTTTGGTTCAGTTTAGATAGCTGTCTTCAGAGAATCTTTCCAGTACCCCATCTCAAACCTGGTTTAGATACTTTCCATTGGGTTACAATTATCTCTAATGCTGACCCTTTCACAATTTATCATTGTCCCTGTTAGACTGTAAGTTTCTTGGGGGAAAGGAGCTGAAATTTGTTCATTGATACTCTCATTGCTTCCCACAGTGCATTGAGTTACTGAGCAATAAGTATTTGTGAGAGAAGGGGAGAAAGGTTTATATATGTATATATATCAGTGCTGGTAGTAACAACAATGAGAGCTAATATTTATGTATCACTTACTATCCACTAGATACTGTTGAAAGTATTAATACAACTTTTCAACCAGCCAATGAGGTGGCTATTATTTTCTCTGTTCTATGGAGCCTATTAAATCCCACCTCCTCATCTGCAAAATGAAGATCGTAATACTGCTTACTTCATAAAATGAGGATTTTAATCAATAAGAAAAATACCTGTATGGTAAGTGCTGATTATATTCTGTCTGTTGTCATAATTATTGACCTTGCCAAAGACACCAGAGGACTTCAGGTTTTAGGGAGGTGAGAACATCATTCTGACCCTTACAATGGCTGGGAGAGCAGATAAGAGTCTTCATGAGAGATCATGCTGAGAATAGGAACAGATAGAGCCTTCCCTGCCTGCTGCACTCCCCTTCCAAGCAATATTCAGAGAGGAAACCACAGGAGAGAAGAGTGTGCAGGTGACCAAAAGTCTCCAGATATGCTGACTGTGGACTCCAATAAATAAAACTTTCCCCTTAGTGTTAGATAGTTTTTCAGCGGTTTCCACTCTGTGTGGCTTTTTTTCATGAAAAAGAAGAGAGAGAATGTTCATAGAGTAATTTGGTAACGAGATAGTGACAAACAAAATTTGGAGCCAGTTGGTCTCATTTCACCACTGATAATAAACCCAACCTTGAACAAATCTTTTAAACTTTCTGAGCCTCAGTTTTGTCACTCATAAAATGGCATAATAAAACCTATCACTCAATAAATATTAATTTCTTCCCCCAATGGCTAATTATCATAATCTTTCTGATACTCAGTGTCTTTATTTGGAAAATAGCTGTAGGAGTTATGTCTATATCAGGGAATTGGCATATAAACAGGCTCATTTGTAAACTAGAAAGCCTCATGTAGTCATCAGACATTATTAATCAGTCATAAAATATTTGCGAAGCCTACTACACACTAAATCTAGTGGTACTGGTGAAATTCACCCACTGAGGTAAGGCCTTGCCCTCAGGAGAGAATTGCTGGGCGAGAAGTCTATTCTCCTTAGTCCAGAGGGAAAAAGCAGCAAGGCCAGAGAAGGCCTTGGGGCCTGCACAGCACAAAGTCCCTGGCACTTGGCCCTCCCTGGGGGATATCTAATACTCTACCCCCAGCTATCAGCTGATAGCCTGCCAGACTTCTTGACTGAGAGCTCTAGGGACAGGGCTGTGGGATGGATTTCTAAATCTTAAAGAGAGGCAGGCAAAGAAATCTTACAACCAACACAAACAGTGACCTGAAACAACATGGAACTAGTTGTGTTGACTGACAGGGGCTGCCAAGGATAAGCAAAGGAGCATCACTAGAGAGTTCTGCGTTTCTACTGCAGGTAGATTCATCAGTCTAAATACACTGCTTCCCAGCCCAGCAAAGTAGGCACCTTCTTTTGAGTTCCTTTGAGTTCTTTCCCTTTCCCTTCCAAGAAGTTATAAAATGAGAAAAAGGTGCAAGGATTCTTGCTTAACTATGAATCAGGAAGAGGCTCAACCACAGAGGAGTCAAGTATGGTATTGCCTTAGAGAAAAAGAACTTGTAGAGACAGGTCCCAGAGAGATCCACCCCAGATTTTTCAGGGAAGGAATTCCCTCATCAGATGTTCTCAGATCTTCCAAGTAGAGGACGAAACCATCTGCTTCTACATTGAACACCTGATACAATGTGCCCAGCAGCCCCCCTGTAAATGAACAGGAGACTTCTTTACAACATGACCCACAGGGACAATGGAATTCCTCTCCGCAGTCTGAAGATTGTGACTCTTCTTGTTGCTCTAAGCCCAGAACTTCTATTCCTGGGAGCTGGAGTACAGCTTCAGGACAATGGATATGATGGATTACTCATTGCAATTAATCCACAGGTACCTGAGAGTCAGAATCTCATCCTAAACATTAAGGTGAGTGTCAGTTCTGAATTAAGTTTATGATCTTGTTAGATCAGACTTGTAGCCTTCATTAAAGAGCTAGCAGCTGCCCCTGATTTGCATTTGAGTGGTAAAGAGAACTGTGCTTCTTAAGGATAGCACCAAAAATCATGATTGTGATCAAGCCAGTTTGTTCACCTAATTGCGTATAATTCAGTTAACAGAGTAATGATCAGGCCCTCTGTTACTGTCGTCCTTTTTTTTGTTGTTGTCCATTACTGTTAATTTTCATTTTGTTGTTGTTTTCCTACATGATTGTCTTGGGGATAACAACCTACAGAACTAACATTTCATTATGGCAAAGTTATACTGGGTATTTGGTGAAAAGCATGACAGTACTTACTAGAATCATCCTGTTGGATCTCAACCTGAGGCTGAAAATTCTCTTTTCACCTAGTATTCTGTAAATGAATGTTTTCACTTTAATATAACAAAGGAGGATCATTACTCAAGAGCCTCTTTTTGGTATTGCCTGAGTGAAAGATGTATCATCATAAGGTGTGGTCTTGAACATGCCTACAGATATGAAATGAAAAGGACTTGTTTTGGAAAGCTTAAAGCCCTTTCAAAATTTTGGGATAACCATGAGGGCAAGCCTAGACACATAGTTTCCTCTCTTTCACATAATTATCAAAAATTGTTTTTTACAAACTTTGCTCCTATGTCTTAACACAGTGAGAGAGCCAAAATAGAAATGGTTTACAAGTGATTAAAAACAGTTTTCCTTTGGTTTATGTATAGGAAATGATAACAGAAGCTTCTTTTTACCTGTTCAATGCTACCAAGAGAAGAGTGTTTTTTAGAAATATACAGATTTTAATACCTACCACATGGAAAGCTAATAATTACAGCAAAGTAAAACAAGAATCCTATGAAAAGGTAAGAAGTCAGGATTTCATTAAGTAAGCCTAACTACATTGGAAGGGAAAAATACCAAAATATACTGCATTATTGATGTTAATATACAAATAATATTTCTGGGCAGTGTTTTTAGCAAAATGCATGGATTGTAACCCCTGAAAACATAAAATTATGTCAGTTAAAAAATTTAAAATTAATAGAAAAAGAAAAATATGTGGAAATAAAATAAAAGAATGAAAATCATTGAGGAAAAAATAAGTAGAATGCCATTGCCCGTGTAGCTTCTCAGAAGGCCTCTTTGTTCTACAAGTTACAGGGTCTTTGCTGAAATTTTTGGTTGAGGACCAAGAGTCAGTTATTTCCTGCTGAGGATGAGTAGTGAAAGGAACAATCCCAATTATGACTCTCTGTTTTACTATTCCATTTGGGGCAGTGATATGCACGTCTAGACAGAAACATAAGCCACCCACACATATAAAAATATGATTGTCTTCTCGTGGTGTAAATTATCATAATTTCACCTTAAATGAAGTCCAGGATGCTAATTTAGAGGAGTAAGGAAATAGGAAGAAAGGCCAGAGTGTTGAGGGTAGGAGGGGAAAAGGCTATCATCTTTTCTTTTTCAACTTAACCTTGAAAGATTCCCACAAATTGCAGACCATAGATAATCACCCATAAAGATGCTTGGCATGTACTGGTATGTGCGCTCTAAATAAATATTAAATAAGTTTGGCCAGTGACTGTTGGAAATTAATGGAAACAAGAGCCACTCACAGCTCTCAGAAGGGCCAGGAGCAGAGACACTGAGAACTTAGTTCAGGGATTCAGCAGTGGAGTGGGCTTGAGAGCTCTAACTCTAGCTCAATCAATATAGCTACAATGCATGTCACAACTTTCCTGTTTCCTCATTTGTGTCTTTTAGTATGAAATATCCTAAGATTGTTTTCATTCTTAGTTCTCCTTTAAAGTTACTCTCAGGATTGAGATGGTATAGCAATGTAGATAGGAACTCTAAAATCCTAAAGAAGTTAAGGAAGCCCTTAAAAGCATTTGATTTATAACCACTAAAATCATTAGCAGTGCTTGCCATGGAGATAAGATAGATGAGGGAAATGGAATAAAATGGGAAGAGAGCTAGTGTTCTTAAGCTTCAACTGAGTGCCAGGTCTTTTACATATATTATTGAATTCTTATGGAGCCTGAAATTAGTTACTGTAATCGCATCTTAGAAAATTGTGTCTCACATAAGATAAGGATGTTGTTCCAAGTGAAACAGCTAATAAATTAAAGAGCCACAATTTGAATGTCTGTTCAACTTCAAAATGCACACTGTACACACTAAGCTATGGAGTTTCTTGTTATCTATAAAGAGCACATTAATCAATTTGGCCTTCAGTAAAAAGCAAAGTATTGGAGACATCCAGGATCAAAACTTGGTCACCAAAGGTAGTACTCCTGATGTTAATGGCAAGGAGAGAAATAAATGTCATCCATACATAAGATTATGACTAGCCAGAAAGATCAGAGGAAAGAATAATCATTGAATTCTGTTTATGTATCTCATAGATGCCATTTTCTTTAACTTCACAGTATCAATTAAGCAACACTTAGTCAATAATTATATGTACAGGGACCTCGTGAAACAATGCAGAGGACACAAGGACAAGCACAGTATTTCTTGACCTTGTGAAACAACAGTGCATTCTAAGTAGGAATCAGGAAAGAAGAGGGAAGATTAGGAAAAGTAGATAAAATCTGAATTATTACAGTCTATAAGGTACAACACAGCCTCTGAGTATCCTACTGCATGCAGGGCAGTTTTTCCTTTTTGGCTTCAGGACAAAGTTTCAAACATAGGAGTGAGGTGGTGTCCAAGTGAAGACTATCCAAGGGCATGACCTCATTAGTCTTTTGTAGGGGTTACCTTGCAGTGTCCTTGGTTTTCTAAAAATAGTAATAATAATTTTAAAATTATAACAATTAGGGCCGGGGATTTAGCTCAGTTGTGTGGCCGCCTGCCCTGCAAGTACAAGGTCCTGAGTTCAATCCCCGGTACCAAAAAATAAAATAAACAAACAAATAAATAAATAAATAAAATTATAACGATTTGTGTTCACTGGGAAAAATCAAAACATATAGAAATATGGAAAATAAAAATGAAAATATAATCTTCCTCCACTCCTCTATGTCTTACATATATACATACACATAGTACATACAATATATTTATGTATGATCTTATTGCTCCACAAGCAGGCTCCCTTTATTAACTTGTTATAAGGGTTGGTCTGAGACAACATCCTTCTTCCTAAAAATAATGAAAATAATGTTATATGTAAATTTCTGTTGTCTTGATGGCCACTGGAAGAGATGCTTTATTTTTGGACTTAAAATATCATGTTTTACCAAGAAGTTTAAACGGTCATGGCATAAGATGAATTCTAATTTCATTAGAATGATTGTTGTCCTGCTTGAACTGGCTGCAGAAATGAAAGGAAGTACAAGGCTAAAAAGAAACACATCCTCTTGCCTTCACTGATGAAACAACTCATAGTTGTTTTCAAAAGACTATAACTCTTCACAGCACAAATTTGAATAGTGTACACGAATGCTCTTAAAATCTTTTTAAGTATTTTGTTACATTTTATAGTATTTTATAATACCAGATTTTACAGTGTCGACTTTTGAGAATATTTTAACCTGGAAAATGGGAAGGTTGAAGGAGGTAATGAAGTGCCACGGAGATTTGCCAAGCATTTGAAATAGTTTCGGAAGTGCTAAATGAATTAGTTGATATTTAGCTTTGTGTATTCTAAACCCAACCTAGAAGGCATGCCTTTTCTTTTTTCTTTAACTTGTTTGTAAGTTAGGGCATATTACATACCGTAAAATGCACAAATCTTAGGAGTACAGTTCAAAGTGCTTTAGTATACATTTATGTCACCAACATCTCAGTGGAAATATAGAGTATTTCAATGTATTTCTTTCAATTTAGGCTAATGTCATAGTGACTGATTGGAATGGAGTAAATGGAAATGATCCATATACCCTACAACACAGAGGGTGTGGGAAAGAGGGAAAATATATTCATTTCACATCTAACTTTCTCCTGAATGATGACTTGACAACTGCCTATGGATCTCGGGGTAAGTGCAACTAATACAAATGGGCAGAACTAGCACTATCCACAATATTTTGTGCTGAAAGGGACTTAGAAAACCTGAAACTTGTCAGTGTCTTACCAGTTGGATAGAGAGGCCACATGAACATGCAAAGATGAAAGAGAGTGAGCCAGGAAGAATTAAGTGCCAGACTAGTGGCCCAGGATAGGAGTACTCTAGGAATTCAGTGAAGGAATTCTTGAGCCAGAGGTGGTCAGAACAGGTCTCACAAAGGAGAGGTGTTTTCTTGGTTGACATTATTTTTTCAATGGAAAGAACAAGAGATTAGTAGAGAGAATATGAATAAAGCTGTGGTTGCACAGGAATCTAAGGCCTGTTTCAAAGGTGCGGAGAAGTAGATGCTGAGGCTGGCTATAGGAGAGGGTGATAGATGTGATGGATCCTAAAATATCCCTGTGATCAAGTTATCACTGACAGTTCACAAGCACAGTAGCAGAACTGTCACGACATTGTTTTCAGAAGATTAAGCTGGCCCACTGAAGTCAATGTGGGAGAAACTGGGCATCAGAAAGAAAACTGGGAGAAATCCAAGTATGAGGGCCTCAGACCCGAGTTAGAGTAGAAGCAGGGATCCTAGAAAGCCACTAAGAGGAGCAATAAGGACTCCCTATGTGTCAGGAAGACTGGGTTGTCCTGCTGCAAGGTTCAGCCTCTGATTGGTATCAGTGACTGGAGCTGGGGAGAAAAGTTGGGGTCACAGGTCTGCAGACCCTGGGCAAGCAGGAGCGAGTGAGATCTGAGTAAGCAACTAGTGAGAAGAGATCAGTTGGTTAGGGGAGAACTTCCTCAAACTTTTTTTTAAAACTTATAGTAGTGCCTTTCAAGTCATGTTTCAAATTTTTAAACCATTCAAATCTAAATATATTTTAGTTGTCCTCTACAATTAGCAGGAAGTGCAGCAACATGCTTTTAAAACATTATCATACCTTTATAAATCTCTGTAAATGAATTCTTTCCCTGGTTGCCATAAGGTGTAGATGATCCTGCACCAACATATGTCGTAATCAGCACTTCTAAGTTCCGTGAATAGGCACAAACTCCTCTTACCACTTTCAGTTGGGGCTGTTCTCCTCCCTTCCTTTGTTCCAAGATCCCCAAATTACACAATAGGACCCAGCCTGACTCATTTCAAAAAATGCTCCTTAGGTTCCCAGAACTTAAAATAATTCAGAAAAAATGAAATATGCGTTTTGCAAAGGTAGTTCATGTGGAAAATGTCTATGAGGAAGTAAATCTGGTCTTAACTTTGAAGGAAATATAGGATTTAGAAAGGTAAAATTATAAAGGATTTGATTCCTAGAATGGAGTTCTTCTGTGAAGAGTTGGAAATAAACATAAATGGGAATAATAATAAAAGATACAGGGCAGTGAAAACTGGAGAGGGAATTCTGCCACCTTTTTTTGACACCCCCCCGCCCCGCCGTTTCAATCATTGTTATAAATAGGAGAATTACTTGCAAGAAAAAAAAAAAAAAACCAGGTATGTTTGAATGGCACAGACTTGAGATTGGGAGAACTTTATTTGCTCTCCTGGATATACATCCCCTTTCCTCAAGCCCTGAATTTATAGCCTTCTCTGAAGCTAAATAGAAACCTGTTAGAAACCTGTTAGACAACGTCTTTGGGGAATGAGGTGATGTGGGACTCCTCACTACCTTCCAATAGGTGTAGAACTACATCGCTGCTTTGCACTTACAGGACCATTTATATTTCTTATTGGTTTTTTTTATGATTTTACAGAGTAGGGCGAGAAGTAATGGGAGAGGAAAGTGGGAGAAGAAGCATGTTTCAGTTCTTTGAAATAGGATATACTGCACAGTTAAGTGATGTTCCATCTTCCTGATCAGTAAGGCCTCTTGCTGAGATTTCAGGAACTTGCTCTCTCTTCTGCAGGCAGAGTGTTTGTCCACGAATGGGCCCATCTCCGTTGGGGTGTGTTTGATGAATATAACAATGATAAGCCTTTCTACATAGATGGCCAAAATGAAGTTAAAGTAACAAGGTTAGTATTTTTATGTTTATCATTTATTTGACTCTAAAATTAGTGAATGTATTATATATTTCAAAAAAATAGAAGAAAGAATTTTGAATGTTGTTACCATAAAGAAATGATAAACATTTGAGGAGGTAGATGTTTTTGCTGATTCAAATGTCACATGATCTGAAAAAATAATAAAATTTAATTTATAATGGCAACTAAAACTTAAGAAAGAGATCCTTTTGTTTAAAAAATTATTGCATTTTTAAGAAAAATGGGTAAATACTTGGTTAAATATCAAAATAATATAAAAAGTTATACTCTCAGCTGTCTTTATTCTACCATTGTCTTCATTTTGTTCCCTTTTTTCCTCCCTAAATAGCCATTTTGATTAGTATCTTCTTTGTAGTATTTCTTCAGAAAAATTCAAATAAATATGAATGTTTATTTCCTCACCTCTTTTTAAATTATGACATAGTGTTTCATTGTGTGGATATACCATAACTTGTTCAATAGATTAAATCTCATCTTTTGTAATTACCAATAACACTGCAAGATATCATTATATTATGCATATGCCATTTCTAATTATGCAGGCAGAACTATATATCTATTGAATTTTTCCAAGAATTACTGGGTCAGGGGATACTCTCAACTGTAATTTTAGTAGATATTCACTCATTGTTCTGTAAAAGTGACATTTATCACACCCATTGACAACATTTGAAATCGCTTATTGAAGAAGAAATTTTTAAAATTTCAGCCTTGTATGCTCTTTCCCTTCTTTTCTTGATATCCAAGACACAAATCCAAAGGAACATTGACTCAAGATATTGCTGCTTATGCCCTCTCTTGGGATTCCCAAAGTTTCTCTAGATTTCCCAGTATCTTCTGATTTGATTCTGGTTGTTAAAATCTTTGGCAACACACAACCCTTTCATTGACATAACAATCAAGTGGCTTGCATTTGTAAATTAACAAACTTTCTTAGTAGAGCAGTTTTTGAAAAGTTCTATGTGTGTTTAGCAAGCTATAGTACTTAGAACAAATTATTATTGAAGCTAAGTCAACAACAAATATAGTTATAAAACAGAACCAATTTCCTGTTTCTCCTTTTAGGTGTTCATCAGACATCAAAGGCATTTTTGTTTGTGAAAAAGGCCCTTGCTCCCATGAAGATTGTATTATTAGCAAGCTTTTCAAAGAAAGATGTACGTTCCTCTACAATAGCACCCAAAATGCAACTGCATCAATAATGTTCATGCAAAGTTTATCTTCCGTAAGTTCGTCTTTGGAATGACAAACTCCTATCAGATTTCATCTCTTCCCACAATGAACTGACATATTTTCAATATTTAAAATACAAGACAATTAGATTCTTTACACTAGAGCTTGTGGGACCTTAGGGCTCATTTAGTTTTTATTCTGCATATTAAAAAGCAGAGGCCCTCCAAGATGATCACCAAATTTAAATTTCTTTAGAAATGTGGTAATTTGCATTCCAGAGAAGGTGATTTTGCAAGAGGACTCAAGAGGCCACAAAGTAAACTGTTCACATAGTAGTCTTCCTGTATCCTTTCATAGAAAAGTGTTTTAGTTTAATGAGAATGAGAAAACAAATGATTGTGTTTTCCTGATTTGAAGTAGCAGATCACTTTATATTTTAAATGTGATTGCCAATTCTCTTTCCTTTGATTTGCATAGCCTAAAATTTGAAAAGAAATGCAAGGTATCACTTGCATCCTCTGGCTGGCTCATTTTCTCTCTGAAGGAAGCAAACAGCCAAGTTCTCAGCAGAGGCCTGCTCTGAGAGCATGGAGCCAGAAAGGAGGGAGTTGGATAATTAAGAGATTTAGAGTAATCGGCCTTTCTGACCTGGCGCATCTATCCAACTTCAAAAAAGACCCTAAAGTCACACATGTGGGTCATATGTCAGAGGGGCTGGGAGCGTTGTGGGACAATGCCTATACGGAGTTTCCTCTGTTTCCACAGCTGTCCAGGCAGCACCACTGAGCAAAACCCCCAGCCTTCTGCTACTTTTTTTTTTTTTAAGATCATTTTTTTCTCTCGCCTGGTTCTGGACAAGGCTAGGAGTCATTTGTAACTTCAAGGTGATTTTTCATATTTCTCATGCTATATATTATATTTTGATGTATAGCTTTCATATTTGTAGCCAATCTAATTCCAGGTATTTAATTTATATTATTTTGTGACTAGGTACTACCTTTGTAATCCTTTAAAAGACCTATTCAAAAAACATCCAGTCACAAAAGTTTCATGGTTTCCTAGCCACAGTCCTGAAATCTTGGGAAAAATACCTACATAGAACTAAACAGGTTCTGCTCCTGGCTCACACCCTCCCAAGAAGCTCATGTCTTGAGCAGGTATTAACTTTCCCAAGCTTCGGCTTCCTCTCTATGAATTAGAAATAGGACTAGAGTCTCCTCTAAGTGTTCTTCTGATTCTAAGTTCCCATGACTGCTGGCAGAAAGTCCAGGTGTCTGTAGGAATGGAACCACTGGGAATAGGTGGTGATACCTTACTTTGCAATGCAAACCATACCTTTAAGTGGGATGCTGGCACTGATTCATTATTATTAAATTATTAAATGAAACATAGCTATATTTCTAAATGAAAAGTTTCAGGAAGTAGATTTAAGTCGCTTTTCCTCTTATCCTACTCTTACAGGGATCAATATTTGAAGTAGATCATAAAATAAATGTGTGAATAAAGGTTCAGGGGTCATTTAATATGACTTCAAAGAGTAGGCTGGCCAGCATAACATCTCTTGAGGTGTTTCCTTAATACAATATCACCCTAGGAAAGGAGGGAGATTTTTTGTTTTTTTTTTAGACCAAGATAAATATACATGCTCTGTTGTCTGTTATCCCCGTACAAATAAACTTTAATAGAGTTTGCCCTTAGTAGAAAAGGGTGCTACTGTTTCAAGCAGAGGGTATCAAGGTTTATTTGTAAGTTTGATGTCCTTTTTGAAGGAAAGAAGTACATGGATGTAGCATTTTCATTGTCTTTCAGCTCTTTTTTATTTTTTTAACCTACAGTGGTTTGAGAATGAGAAATATGTCTTGTCTGGGAAAAGTGCTCTTACTCTATGACAGACTCTGCTCTTTTTGCAGGTGGTTGAATTCTGTAATGCAAGTACTCATAACCAAGAAGCTCCAAACCTACAGAACCGAATGTGCAGCCTGAGAAGCACATGGGACGTAATTATGGATTCCTCTGACTTCCGTCTCAGTTTTCCCATGAACAGGACTGAGCTTCCACCTCCTCCCACATTCTCTGTTGTACAGGCCAGCGACAAAGTGGTCTGTTTGGTGCTGGATGTGTCTAGCAAGATGGCAGAGGTAACATTTCTCAATGAAATTGTTGTAAATGTAAATCATCATTTTTCAATTCTTTTCATTTTTAGGGATAAGGATGATGGTAAGGGAGACAAAACGTTCGGAATAGTTAAAAACATTTTATTTGGTGGAATATAAAAGGGCCAAATTTGGCCCAGAAATAAAAAAATAAAATCCAGAGATCATTTCTAACCTTTTTATTTTATTTTTTTTACTGATTCTAAGTTTTTCAGTCAAGACCCTTTGCTAAAACTATGACATGTAAAATGACCTCCTGTCTAGTCACATTTCCCTTGCTGGTGAACATCGTTGCTCGAGGTGGTAGAGTGAGTTTGCAGGGAGCATGTGTGTCCTCTGTGCATGTTTCGTGTCATTGTGTCCAGTCACCTGGCAAGTGGGAACCCACTCTGGAAAACTCCAGATCTCAGAGAATGATTAGAGGCTTAGTCTCTGGAATCAGGCAGATGTGTCTTAAGTCTTGATTCCTCCTATTGTTTTCTATGTAGGCGAGATGAGCTCATTGAAGTAGTTTTCTCATCTTTAAAATAGAGACGATGATAGCTGATTTCAATGAGAGTCAACTGTTAGATTTTTAGGAAACTTGTAAGTCAGTTGTTAAGCGCAGCCATTATTAAAACTTGAACTATGGGGCTGAGGTGTAGCTTAGTGGTGAGAGTATGCCTAGCCTGCAAGTGAGCCCCCCAGAACCACACAAAAATTAAACTATATAATCTTACAATAAATAAAATATATTAGAAAAAAGTGCTAAATGCTCAAAACTCATCACTTCCTAACTTTTCCTACTACTGATTACAGGATTATCTGTGTTCAGGGCTGGAAAACTATTCCCATAGGCCAAGGCTGCCCCACTGTCCATTTTCTCATGGCTCACAAGCTAAGAGTGGTTTTGCACCTTAAGTGGTTGAGGAAGAAAATCAAGAGGCTATTTTATGACACATGAAAATTACATTAAATTTCAGTGTCCATAAGTAGAGTTTTATTGGAACATAGCAACTCATTTATTACATATTTATGGCTACTTCAGTGCTATACTAGCAGAGTTAAGAAGGAAAAGAGAACTTATGGCCCACAAAAACTAAAATATTAACTATCTGGCCCTCTATAAAACATGTCCGCTGATTCCTGATCTATACTGGTAAGGTTTTCTCTCTCCTGTCATATCTGTGTGCATCCCTTCCCACTTTTGCAATCACTGATGTCACAACCTGAAATCAGCCATGCTGTAATATTTATCTAGTAGAAATTGACAATTGCTACAAATCAAGACTCTTTCTTTAAGCCAGAAATCCTGTTATTAAATATTTAACAACGTATTCACTACCTACGTTATAGAGGCATCGAGGAAAAATAGATGAGACAATAAATATAAACTTGGGGGTTCATAATCAATAACAAGTGCTTGGCAGGGGAGAGATTGTATCTTGTTTTACTCTCTGGATCAATGGTTCTGGGATATTTACCTTTTTTGGCTTGTCTCTGAAATATTAGAAACTCCAGGATTATAAGTCAGCATTTGGAATAATTTTGCCATGTTGCTTAGCTGCAGTTTACCAGGGAGTGATTTTCTCAAATGTATTTTTTGTGTAGTTTACACAGTATTGGCTCTCTGTCTCTGTTGAACAAGAATGAAAGGAAAGAAAAAGATAATTGTACTCAAGAGAAGACTTACAATAAGCAGAAGAGAAATAAGCACAGAGTAACAAACTCCCAGCCAGGAACCTTCTTCCCTTTTCCTACTAAAACTGTCCCTGAACTATGATGGCTATTTGGCAATGAATTAAAAATGTATAGAATTTGAGGTATCTATGGAACCTGACATTAGGTGTTGTGTCCTAAGAAGTATGAAGTGCAAGTCTGGATACTAAGGGAAACGCCTATGTTCAAGATAGAGATTAGACAACCCTGAATGAAGCTCACCATGTGCTCCTTTCTCTTCCTCCACAGCCTTCAAAACGAGAGACCCTAATGAATTAATTGGTAGTATATCTGCCTAAACCTTGGCACTAGCATTACTCTGTAGTTGGTTAGTAGCACACAGTGATATACTTTACAGGTACATATCTCAGTTGATCCTCAGAGGAATTCTAATTCAATAATCAAGAAATATATTATTATTCCCACTTTACAACTTCAGTGTCCAGCCTAAAACACCACCATTACAGAGAGTAGCAGCAGGATGTACATCAGATCCTCTCACTGCTTCTCCTCGCCCCCATCTGGTCTCTTTGTAAGGTTTACTCTTACCTGGACTGAATTTTAAAAGAAGCAATTACGAATCTAATCTCAGATGGTTCCATGTGACTTTCAATTCTGAGCTGGAGAGAAATAGTGACAATATATGTTTTTAATTATAAACAGCTTGTTCCAAACCAGTCCCTCTTCCTGCAGAAGCATGGTTTTCTGGGGCCTGCAATTAATCAGAAAATAGTCTAGCGTTATCTCACTCTTTACAACTCAAAATTATTATGCGAAGTCTCTAGAGAATTAGAAGTATTTGATAATTGAATTACTTAGTGATACTTTTGTCTACCAATCAAATGTTGTCAGTTTTCTTTTTTCTTTTTTGGGACATAGGCTGATAGACTCCTTCGACTACAACAGGCAGCCGAATTCTACTTGATGCAGATTGTTGAAATTCATACTTTTGTGGGCATTGCTAGCTTCAATAGCAAAGGAGAGATCAGAGCCCATTTACAGCAAATTAACAGCGATGAGGACCGAAAGCTGCTGGTTTCATATCTGCCTACTCTTGTGTCAGCTGAAGCAGAAACTAGCATCTGTTCAGGGCTTAAGAAAGGATTTGAGGTACAGTACAGTAACCTAAAACCTGATCACCATCAGTATCCTTGTAGCCGAGTTTCTTTCTGATGAGGGACAATCTGCTACCGTGTGGTCACAGCCTCAGTATGGAGCAAAGATGGATCATTTTTAAAGTCAGGGACCATATCATAGTCACCACTGTATTCTCTGTACTTAGCAAAGTACTTGGCATGTAATAGTTGCTTAGCAAATGCTTATTGAAGAACTGACTATATAAATGAACATAATGGCCAACACCAAGGGACTTAAACATCATCTGGACAATTTCTTAACTGTCTCTGTTTAGTCTGGGACATCTAAATTGTGGCCATGGTTAACCTTGGGTTTTCTAGTCAAAGTCAATATGTCTGGTTCCTGCCTGTAGTCCTACTAGATCTCAAGTGTATGGGAATTAATTAGGGTCAGAGGCATATTTTAGGAATGATAGTTTGTCTAAATAAGCATCTAAATAAGTAGTCCTGTGTCAAGTACAATATCTGATAGCAAGTAAGACATAAGTGTGGTTATCAATGCATATAGCCAAGTCGCTTTCTATCTAGGCTATCCATGGAACCACCTGAATAAGAAAATACTTAGAGGTTGGGGTTGTGTAGCAGTGGTAAAGCACATACTCAGCATGCTCGAGGCTCTGGGTTCAATCTCTAGCACCAAAACAACCACAAATCTGATGCCTGGATCTCATGCCCATATATTTTGATTTCATTGATATGGGATCTCCCCATTTAATTCCAGTGTGTAGCCAAGATTGAGATCAACTGCTCTAAGCCTTTTTTTTTTTTTCTTTGTACCAGGGATTGAACTCAGAACCTTGCACTTGCAAGGCAGGTGACAGCACCACTGAGCTAAATCCCTGGCCCCTAAGCCCTTTTATTAGTCACTTGCTAGACTTCAGAGGCAAGGCTGTGGTACCATCCTGAAGCTCATTTCCTTTGTGATGGACACTTACGAGCACATCAAAGTGGTTCAAACCGGAAACATCCCCAACCATAAGCAAACTGGCAGTGGTGTGCAGGGTGACAAGTGCAGTGGTAGGGAGAGGTGAGGACTGAATGGAGCAGGGCTTGGAGCGTAAGGAGCTGCAAAGGACATCACAGAGGCATTCTAGGGAATGGAGAATGAGAGTGAATTCTTGTGCTCAATAAGAAAATATGATCTACTTTTCCTTTCCAATGATTCTTGTGTTCAGGTGGTTGAAAAGCTGCACGGAAAAGCTGCTGGCTCTGTGATGATATTAGTGGCCAGTGGGGCTGATGGGCACATCGGTAACTGCTTGCCCACTGTGCTCGGCAGCGGTGCCACCGTTCATTCCATAGCCCTGGGGTGCTCCGAGGCTGGGAAACTGGAGGAATTATCACATCGCACAGGTAATCATTTCTAAAAACTTATCTTTGAGAGCATTTATTTAAAGTTGAATATTCAAAGAACAACCATGAAACTCAGATTATATGGCTTAATTTAACAGAAAAGGTTTTCTTAAACACCACACAAATCATGACTAAAATTACAAAATTACTAAAAGCATTGCTAAAATCAGTCATCCAGTTTTATTATATTCGATAAAAATGTGTATGCTGAATTTACTATTGAAATTTAGAATGTATTAACTTATATTTTAAAATAGCGATTTCAGAATATAAACATAAATATGGAATAATATAAGTAGACAGAAATCACCCTATATCATCTAGGAATTACCTTGATACAAAAGCTACTTATGGAACATTTATTGAGTTCTTATATAGTGGGCAGAGAACAGGCTGCTTACCATATGGCTGTTTGGGATGTCAGGCAAAGCAAGGTGAGCATCATTCCTCCTTCCCCAACATCAACACTATAAAGCAAAAGTGTTTGTTGGAAAAGGCGTGACACTTTATTTTTTGGCTTTATTTTATCCATTTTAAGTCAATGTTCCGATCATTTATTTCAGGTGGCTTAAAGTTCTGCATTCCAGATAAATCAAACTCTAATAGCATGGTAGATGCTTTCAGTAGAATTTCCTTTGGCACTGGAGACATTTTTCAGCAAAGCATTCAGGTCAGTATTTCCTTGGTGTTATATTTACAGTTTGGTAGGGAAAAGGGGGAGAAAAAAGAGAAATTGAGAAATAATGCTGATTGTTTTATTTGCATTATTTGAAAAAGTAGCAAGGGCGGGGCATAACTCGGTGTTACAGCTTTTGCCTAGAATGTGTGAGGCTCTGGGTTCTATTTTCAACACCAAAAGAAAAAAACTCATTTAAATTAAAAAAAAAAAGTAGCAGTCTGAGTTCTTGGTGTCTTGAATGCTAGGCTTTCTACCTGAGGTCTTTACTTTTGAGTTCTAGGAGGAATTTTCTGTAATTACAGTAATAACTCAGATTTTCAAAGGTATTTGAGAGAACTTACTTTTTCTTTGTGGCTCAAAATGTAGGTAAATGAGGGAGTAGGATGGAGGCAGGTCCAGAAAAGAAATAAGAAACAGTGAATTTGATCCCCTAATAACTTTCCACCAACCAGACTATATTTATTTTTTGCTTCTTTAGTCTCTTTGAAGCTCCTCACTTGTATAAGGAGTATCAACTAGTTCATTAAATTCTAAAAATTTATAGATATCTTTTTACCCACAACTTTCTTGATTTTGGTCACAAAAAAATTCCTTTAATCAAGCCATTTTTAAAAGGACCATTTTTTTCCCTAAGTACTTTAAAAATATTTTGGGCATAATGGAATAATATTTCAAAAATTTCATCTGCTGTTTCCTCACAGATGGTGAGTGAACTTGCCAAGTTAATAACTTGATGTGAACAATGAACTCAGTATATTATTGTTAGAAAATATTTAACATGAAGATTATATGTACACAGTCAAGGTAATAACCAGAGTCCTGTCACTAGAAGTAAATAAATAGAAAAGCCCAATGCATCCTATGATCAAGTTCTCAGAGGTTGCAAAGAAGATTCAGAAGGCACCAAGAAAAAGAAAACACTGATGTTTGTCCCAGTTTGCACTACAGCAGACTTCTCAGCAGAAATCTTGGGGCCATCAAAAAGTGGCAGGAGATTTTTCATAGTACTGAAGGAAATATAAAAGTGCTAACCAAGAATCCTGGACTTAGTGAAGCTACCCTTTGGAATGAAAGCACGATAAAGACATTCCCAAACATAAAAAGAAAAATATATGTCCATCAGATCTGTCCTATAAGAAATGCTAAAGGAAGTTCTTCAAAAGATAGTGATGTTCATGAGGAAGAGAAAAATGTCAAAAGGTACAAAACTCGTTACTAGAAATAATAACATAGACAAATTCAAACTTCTGTAATATGGCAAACATGATAAGCCAGCCATATCTTTAGAATAAACTAAAAATAAGCCAAACAAAATAATCACTATATTAATATGTTAAGAGATAAGCAATATGGACAGGTGTAAAATGAGACATCAACGAAAATGTCAGGAAGAAATGCAAATGTGGAGTTTTTTTCTTCTGTGTATTTTCACTTTGTATTTTTTCTTTTCTTGTAATCGCATTATCTTGCTATCATTTCAAAATAGGTTGTTATAACCAAAAGAAGTTTTTTGTAAGCCTCGTGGTAACAACAACAACAAAAAAACCCTGTAATAGTCAAAACAAAAATAATTAGCAAGGAATCAAAGCGCCACGGTTAGAGTAAATCACTTAACCTTAAAGGAAGACTGTTAGAGAGAGAAAGAATGGAAGAAATTACAATAAATCTAAAAAATAAGTTATAAAATGGGAGTAATAGACCTTACCTGTCAAGAACTACTTTATATATAAATGGATTAAATGCTCCAATTAAAAAAGAGTGACTAAATGGGTTAAAAAATCAAGACCCTTCTCTGTGCTCTTTATAAGAAGCTCCTTTGACCTTTAAGGACACACATAGACTGAGAGTAGAGGGCTACAATAAGATATTCTATGCAAATGGAAAGAATACAAAAGAAAGCAGAAGTAGCCATGCTTAAATCCCATAAAATATATATTTAAATAAAAAATAGTAAAAACAAAGACAAGGAATGTCTTTATATAATTCATCAAGAGGAAATAGCTATCTATCTATCTATCTATCTATCTATATATATATATATATCTCACTTATTATAGAGTACCCAAATATTAATAAATCTAAAAGAGAGATAGATCCCCCAATACAATAGTAGTAAGGGACTTGTCACCCTACTTTCATTAATGGACAGATCATCCAGACAGAAAGTCAACAAGCAAACAGCAATACAGGAGCACACACTGTGGACCAAATGGACCTGACAGACATCTAAAGAATATTTTACACAACAGCTGCAAAATACACATTCTTTTCAACAGTCTGTGGAACATTCTCCAAGGTGGAATATATGATAGGTCACAAAACAAATCTCAACAACTTTCTAAAAACTAAAATCACAATGAATATCTTTTATAACCACTATGCAATAAGACTAGAAATCAATAATGAGAAAAACTTTGGAAATTATACAAATATATGGAAATTAAATAACTTACTTTTGAACAACCAATCAAAGAAGAAATCAAGAAGGAGATTAAATACTTTATTGAAGCAAGTGGAACTGGAAGCACAACCTGCTCACACTTATGGGATACATGAAAAAAAGGACTAACAAGGAAGTTCATGGCAAAGAAACTTACATCAGAAAAACACAGAAAGATCCCAAATAAACAATCGATTACTACATCTCCAGGCATTAGAAAATCAAGGAGAAACCAAGTCAAAAATTAGTAGAAGGAAAAAAATAAACATCAGTCTGGAGGCATGACTCATTGTAGAGTTCTTGCTTAGCATATATAAGGCCCTTGATTCAATCCTCAGAACAACATAAGCAAAAGCAAAAACAAAATAACACGTGGGGGGGAGAGTTGGTTCTTCTAAAATAGTGCAAACTAAATAGTCAAACCCTTAGCTGTACTAAGGAAGACAGAAGAGTCAAATAAATAAAATAAGAGCTGAAAAGAAGACACTGCAACTGACACCACAGAAATACAAAGATTGATGGAAATCTATATAAATAATTAAATAATAAAATAAATTACAGGGCCGGGGATTTAGCTCAGCGGTTCGGTGGCCTGCCTTGCAAGCACAAGGACCCGAGTTCAATCCCTGGTACCAAAAAAAAAAAAAAATTACAAATAAATTTAAAAGTAAATAAATTAAAAATAGAACCACCATATGGTCTAGCAATCCCACTATCGAGTGTTTATACAAAGGAACTGAAACGATGTATGTCAAAGGGACATCTAAACTCTTCTGTTTATTGCAGATTATTCATAGCAGCGAAGAAATGGGAACAATCTCAGTGCCTATAAATGTAAATACATAAGAAAACATACTACATTCATATCATAGAATACTATTAGGCATAAAAAGCTTATCATTCATGACAGCTGAATGGAACTGAAAATCATGATATTAAGTAAAATAAGCCAGGCACAGAAAAAGAAGTACTGTATGATCCCACTAGTTCCTGGAGTCTAGGAATGGATTTCATAGAAGTGGAGAGTAGAGTGGTGATTACCAGAGGCTGGGAAAGTAGGGGCAGATTGAGAGATGGAGAAAGATTGATCAGTGGGTACAAAACTTTAGTTAGATGGCAATAAGAAGTTCTAGTGTGCTGTTGCACAGTAGGGTGAAAATAGGTTATAATAATGTGTTGCATATTTCAAAAAGCTAGAAGAAAGAATTTTGAATATTTTCACCATAAAATGATAAATTAGGAAGTAGATTTGCTTAATCTGATTTAAATGTTATATAATGCATACCTTATTGAAACGTCACATGATTCTCTATGAATGTGTATTTTTTTATGTTTTTATCTCTGAGTTAAAAGTACATTTAAATTAAAGAGAAAGTAAAACTGAATTATGAATGACAATATGTATTATAAGATATATTGTAATTGGTTGTCCTGCTGGTAGTTCTCAAGAAATCTTTATATTTCACTTCCTTTTAATATAAATAAAAAGAATTGTCCAAAACCAAATTTAATATAAAATATACTTAATCTGGCCTCATGTTAGCCTCCACATTCCCAATGTTGGCCGCCTCTTCCTAATTACTTAGACAGTATCAGTCCCTTGAAACTCAGGGCAGGAGCTACCTCTACAGCTCCCTCTGCAGCCAGGGCCCAGCACGAAGTGCAGCACCAAGTTGGAAGCCAACAAACAGTTGTTAAATTGGTTTGAACAAATAATCCATAATACCTTTGGTGCCATCTGCCACTGTAATTTTATATGGTGTCTCGGAACAACTTGACAAAGTGTTCCTAATGTGTTTAACAAAACTAAACTTTCAAAGTTATTTACAGAATTGTCCCCATTGTGAATACTCAGTGATTAAACGTGAGGTCTCTAGAGTCAACTCAGATTTTATCCTAGTCCCACCTTTTCGGTATGTGTCCCTGGGCAAATTACTTCTCCCAGCTTACTTCTTTTCATCTGTAAAAGGAAGACAGTGATGGTGCTTATTTCAGGAGGTTTTCATGAAGATCAAGCAAAGCATGTGATACAGTGTCCGCCATATGTACACACTGTGTGTTACACACATGTGCATGCACATGCGCACAATCTCATATACTGCTCATTGTGAATGGCCAATAATTTGTTTAAATATACCAAAATTAACGTAAAACCAAACACACCAAAACGAAAATTTTTTATTTCTTATTAAAATCTGTAGGAGTGTCTGGATATATTATATGCAAATTAAAACAATTTAAACACATTCACAAATAAAGCTTTTAAAAAATTATTATAATTGTCTTTGATTTGGATGAGTGATATGAGAACAGCTAAATTATTCTTCACAAAGAATAATGAAGTAACACTTTGCATTCACGGTAACAAAATATTTTTATACCTATTTATGTAATATATAGTATGTAAAATGACTTACGTAAGTATAGTACATGTCAGAATTAAATGATTTTTTGTCAATTTATCTTTGTGATGAAAGAAAAAGAGGGTGTGACTAGAACATTTTACATATATATTCTCTTTAACAGCTTCACAGTGTGAGTGAAAATGTTAAACCTTACCATCAACTGAAAAGCACTGTGAGTGTGGATCACGATGTGGGAAATGACACTGTTTTTCTAGTCACGTGGCCGAGCAGTGGTCCCCCTGAGATTGTGTTAGTTGATCCTACTGGAAGAAAATACTACACAAATAATTTCACTACCAGTCTAGCTTCTCAAACAGCTAGCCTTCGCATTCCAGGAACTGCCAAGGTAGGTCTTATGATCTTGTTATGACAACATTTGGCTGAGTATATACACTTTTCAACTGAACACAGTTAAATTCACTGTATAAAAGAAATTTTGTTCTACATGTGACAGTTTTGAAGTTATGAAAATCTTTTGTGAGCGCTGAATGTTAAAAGGGAGCAAATAAACTACACGCAAAACTTGAAATATTGATTGGATAAAAGTTTCTCAGGTCAACAATGGAAATTAATATTTTCAGGGGTTGTACAATAACTTCTGCAGCTTACATTTTTCTTTACATAATCCATACATTTCTATATGCTTAGGAAAAATTCTGTATCTAGAATTTATAAGATGAGCAATGTAATATATATGCTTTTGAGTACCTTTTTATGTGGAGGTTCCATACAGCTGTCACTAATATTACAATTGCAGAACAAGAATAGGTAGAGAGAGCTCAGTGCTTGAATCAGACGTCACTGGAAAATGAGAAAGCACACGGAGCACACGCTGTGCTGGGTGTGATAGCAACTGAATTTCCCACCTTGATGCCTTGCTTTCCTCTCATGGATACTGCTGTTACCTCTGGGATTTAATAAGAAGCAGCAGGAACTGGGAAAAAAATCTCTTAGCTTAATTGCAAGGACATGTTTTGATGTATTGAAATATCAGCCTTTTCCTTCGTACTTTCTTTTGTAGATTTCTTCCAGGTAGTCTAGGAAAGCAAGAGAGTGGTGTGTAGCAATATTTCTTTTTTTAATAAAAGAAGATAATTTATTTGAAGGGGGAAGTGAAGAGAGAGAGAGAGAGAGAGAGAGAGAGAGAGAGAGAGAGGACACACAACTATTCTGGATGAGTAGAGAGTATTTGAAAGTTAATTACTTGTAGATTTCTTGCCTGCAGCTCCTTTTATTGAGATCAGTATTACTGTAAATTACTTCACACAGACATCGTACAATACTGACCTACTGAAAATAGTAGATCTTTTCTTGGTCCCTAACAGTTCATTGTTTTCATTGTTTGAGATTTCCTGGACTGCAGGTTTGGGAGGAGTGGAGGGAAATAAGAATATTATTATCTCTAGTCCAGCATATCTAAATACATTGTAATAGTCCACTTAATTTACTATAAATTAGTCCAGCATATCTAAATACATTGTAATAGTCCACTTAATTTACTATAAATTTCTCTGTTGTGAAAAGGATAAAAACATTTCATCTTTTTTCAGGTAAAGGGGCCCAGATTAATATTTGCAAAAACCTTTGATCTAGATGCTGCTATTGTTATGTGCTAAAAATATGAATCAAGATGTATCCTCCCTCCTCTAAATAAACCCACATTATAATTCCTCTAAGTTACTTAACAGAAACAGTAGTTTGTTAGCCAATTTAACCAATATTATTTTTCCTGACATCCTTTCACAGTATTCTGAAAAATATAACATCAACTAAACAAAAACCCTAATGTCTTAGATATATCCTGCAAAATTAAGTGTTCGTTTTCTTCTTCACACTTTACAAAACAAAAAGTGTCTGTTTTGCAGCCTGGGCGCTGGACTTACTCCCTGAACAGTACCCACCATTCTCCTCAAGCCCTGACAGTGACTGTGGCCTCCCGCGCCAGCTCTGCTGTGCCCCCAGCCACTGTAGAAGTCTTTGTGGAAAAGGACAGCACTCATTTTCCCGATCCTGTGATGATTTATGCAAATGTGAGAAAGGGGTTTTATCCCATTCTTAATGCCACTGTCGCTGCTGTTATTGAGCCAGAGACTGGAGATCCCGTTACGCTGAAACTTTTTGATGACGGAGCAGGTAACAAGAAAGGAATGGCATGTTTACGTGTTCCTCAGAGCTGTCCCACCATGATGAGCTTGCATCGATGTGAAGCTAATCTTTAACATTTTTTCAATTCTTTTTCTTATTCGATCATATTATACTCTCGGGGGGATGGGGATTTAACTCAGTGGTTCTGCCGCCTGCCTCATAAGTGCAAGAGCCTGAGTACAAGCCCCGGTGCCAAAACGAACAAACAAACAAACATCTTATACTCTCAAATTCTTATAGAATTACTGACAGACTGACTATGTATGGGCTAATGGGAAAAATAGTCTCAGAGAGGCTCCTCAGAGTGGCTGCGCCCAAGCGAAAGTGTGGGTGCAAGCCACTGGACACCTAGGTCTTGGCATCCAGAGGGCCAGCGAAACCGGCCACTGTCACTTACTGAGATGACACAAAACAGGTGGATGCATACTTATGCCATGCCCATTACATTCTCATGTTGCAGAATTCTAAGAGACAGCAGAGACCAGTGGGAATCAGGAGGATTTTACTTCAGGTTTTGGGTGAACACTGGCTCAACCGACTTCCATCCAAGGGAAGTGCGCTGAACAAACTGAAGTTCAAGCTTCTCTGTACATTTTGTCCAAGGGGTTGATCTTTCTAGTAACAAGGAATTTACAGAAACAGGACATGGACAGACAATTCTGTAACTCAGCCTTGAAAGAAAACAGAGCCTTATAAATCATATGAGAACAGAGTGTCATAAACTTTGTTTACAGGATGTAGTTATCGATTTTATCTGTTCCAGAAGAAGGAATTACAGCTACAGGGGAGAGGGAGGATGACCCGGGGCAGGGGATTCCCAAGGCTGGGAAGGACTTGTTTTTCTTTAAGTCCTGCTTCACCCATACTTACCAGCTTTATTCAGTGCAGCAATCGGACCTGACAACGAAAAGGAGCAAAAACCAAGAAGGGAAATGCAGTGATAGTTAACCCATATTTTCCTTTTGGACCCAGTTGTTTGAATTTTTGACTGGCAAACCTATGGTATGCATATTATTATATTTTTCTTTTAAGACAAAAGATGTTAATGTATGAGTTGTTATTTTCTAAACTTAAACCTCAACATTCAGGTTTAATCACAGTGTTGGTGCAATGAATAAATGGATTTTAGGTTGCAGTTTGGGCACTTGGTTTCTAAAAGTTTCACCATTACTTCCCTAGATTATTCTTTGGCCAAGTAACCAGGTTGACAAGAGGACAAGACCTTCTCTAGAACAACCAGAGCCAGTGCCTCTTTTGTATGTGACTTGGTCCCCAAAAGACCAGATCAGCAAGCTAGTGGAATCTGGAGGGAGATTTCCCTACCACTGGGAAAACAAAGTAAATAAGAAAACTCTACTGCAAACCTCTCATTCTGCACAGTAGAATTTGAAGCCCCTTTGGCATGGAGTATGGAGAGCACAGTATCAGGCCAGGCGGACAGTGGCTGTTGGACTCTTTCTAACATTTTTTGACATCTGAAAAATGAACTCATTTGCCATTCCACTTTTCCTGTTTCCTATTCTGTTCTTTTCCTAAACTAAATTCTCAGAATGATAATGATCCTTAAAGTCTTCATTGGCATGCTCAAATTACATGTCTTTGCTCAGTTATTTCAGTTAGTTTTTTTTTTTTTTAACATTTTTGGGTTTAGCACTCCACCATGGCAGTCAAGTATGACATTTATGAACAGAAGTCTGTTCAGAGGACTTTAGCTCAATTCTGCCTAAGAAGGATACCAGAGAAGCCCGGTTTGCCTTTTGAAATGAATCCAAATGGACTCGCATGTTCTGATTGCTTATGTATGACCCTACCCTTTTTTTTTTTTTTTTTT